AGGTGACGGCGGATGTTGACATTCTCCACCTGTGACTGTGTCTGTCTTTCTAAAAAAAGTCAAATAATACACTTGCTGAATAAGATCGCTGATTGAAGCCAAGCCATCTTCGACCGCTGCCCGAGACTGACCCAACTCGGTCTTCAACCTTAAAATTTCCGTTTCGAGGTAGGAATGGTTGGGGGCCATCTGATCACACTGCTGCCGGAGGTTATTAATATCGACTTGAAGAGACCGGACTTGATTTTCCGAAGTGTTGATCTGTTGCTCCAGGTTGGCCCGATCTCGATTTTCGGCCTGCAACAACTATTGCAGATAAAGAATCTGCGCCGATTGATCTTGGGTGCTCGTCAAATACAGCTTGCATATGTTCAAAGAATGTGCAGTATTAACGTATTGACCTTGCTTCACATCGTACTGGCGCTGGAGGTAGGAGACAAACGGAACGGCCGATATGTGCAGAGAGTCGATCTGTTCTTGCAAGCGATCTTACCGCGCGACGGCCTCTCGGTGCGACTACGGCAGCGCGTGAATGGTATCTGCTTGACTGGAGACCGTGACTTTACAATGCCACAAATGGGAGATTGTAGCCAAACTTGTCCGATGTCTTCCGCACACACTCTCGGGGAATCAAGTGCGGTGTTCACGGTCTAAACGATCGCACCACGAGATTATCCAGTAGACAACGTGGCTCTCATATACTCGTCGAGGAGATCGATAGCTATTCGGCCGGGCCGAAATGTTCGATAAATTTAAGGCGATCTGGGACTATTGGAGCATGCCCCCCGCGATCTGGCGATCTGGACAACAGGTCTCGGGCTGAAGACATAGGTCTAGTTGATCGTCGATCTGGCGATCCCGTGACGATCAATATCGATCCGGCCAGACCAAGATCACTTATAGACCCAGGCCGATTTGATACCGTTGTAGTATGCCCCCGTGATCTGGCGATCCGGGCAACGGATCGCGATCCGGATACAGAAGCACGGTGGAGCCTTCCCAAGAGATCGGCAAGGTGGGGGCACGCGTAGGAGAGGCCATGAGATGGACTTGAGGGCTCGAATCGAAGTCAATGAGTGACTGAATTGCGGTCAATTTCTGTACAAAGGACTTCAGTACAGGGGAGGTTGTGGCAAAATCACTAATCGAATTGGGGCACGTGGATCGGTGGCCACCTAATTGAGGCGCTACTTACTGGTGTAAAATGACATCAAGTGATCTAGCGATTCAATAGGAGATGGAAGGTGATCACAAGGAGGTCAACGAACCGATCCAACTGTCGACAGAATGATGGATGTGGAACAATCTGAGACGAGGTGTAGAAAGGGATGATTTCCATGGAACAATCTGGGACGAGTCGCAGGTATAGACGCTTTCCATGGTGCGATCTGGGACGAGGTAAGGGATGAAGTCAAGCGATCCGCTTGAAGGTTGGTCAAGGACAAGAATGTGGGTGTTGAAGCAGGTGAAGACTGGGTCACAAATCTTCACACGAAAGTCTCTTGATGTGTGAACCTGTGGAATGTCATATTGACTGGTATCGACAACGATCATGAAGACTGTGGCAGGATATCTCTGGAAGAGGTGAACATGGTACCAGGTGATGCGATGTGATCCTGTAACCAAGGTGCAACATCCTGCAGATCGTTGATGCTGTTTACCAGTCCCCACAATGGGAGTACTGATTTTGGTTAGTTATAGCCCGATCTGGAAGTTTGAACACTTATGGGAGTCCAGATGGCTATTTCAAGACGCGTGGATGGTCCCGCTGATCCGATAAACCTTGAAGGATGGTATTGGAGCACACACGATAAACTGGAGAATGTCTACTGTTGAATTATACTGTGTCGATCCTCAATTATCTCGAATCGGGCATCAGATCGGTCTTGTTCTCTATGGATTACGGATATGTCGTTGATGGAGCCATAGGATCATGATGAATACGCTTGTTGAAGATCCATGAGTGATGTCTCAAAGTTCAGACCGAAATAGCCAGTTGAAGCCGGTTGGATTGACGTCGCAAAGTGGATGTAGACGAATTAGATATTTGAGTAATATTTAGTGCTCTCCGGTACCAAAAACGGGAATTTGGTACCGGGTTGGGATTTCGTCCTCGTTTGGTGTTTAGGTACGATATCGGGGATATTGGCGCTATCTTTATAGTACAGGTCATGAAATTTCGACACGTGTTCAAGGAGGCGGTCAAGCTTAAAGGTGATATCGGTTTGAAGAGTGACCTATATTTTGGAATAGGCGTAAGGATAGGTTGGCTAGTAATTTGGTTGGTTAATAAACAGACTTGAACCCTACTTCGTCTGCTCACGACGCACGTTCCCCTCCCCTCTTCTCCGGGCAAGATTGATTTGGCTTCCCCGGCGGGTCAAGGCGCGCGTGTTACAAGGACACTGAAGACCGATCTTGGATTGTTGGCCAAGATCGAGAAGAGCGATCTCGGGATATTTGGCCCGGATCGATCAAGTACTCACACTCAACTCAACTGCTAGGGTAGCAGCAACATCAGGAAAAGGAAAAGGACATTGGTTACAAGATCGCGAGACAGCTCAAGTGGTCAGAAGATCTGGACAAGGAGTTCAAGACAAGACCGAGCAAGACCGAAGCGATCCACCGGATTGATCCGCACGTTTCATTTAGGCGAAACAGGACACCTATCTGGCCCACACTGCGCACTTCCAGCAAGATCAGCCGATCCCGAGACTAGATCGGACCGATCCCAACGCAAGATCGACGCAAGACAACTATTTGCTGAGTGAAGATTTCCGCACAGCGAAGACCCCGATCCCGAAGACAAATCGAGATCGATGTGATTCAAGATCGAGATCGCGACATCGCCAAATAGTGACTGCCGCGACTCAAGATCAGGATCGCAGAACCCATGTTCGTGGTGTGAAGATTTCCACACCGGAAGCGAACGCTCAACCCAATCTCTCAGTGAGATCGACGTCTCCCAAGGCCATTACGAAGAGCTCAAGCCAGCCCAACCTAAGGGTACACAAGGTGAGCACAAGGTTATACATCAAGGCACGGATCGGAGTACCCCCTTCGTGAGTCAATAAGTCTGGGCAAGTGGACGATCGACACTCACTAAAAGTAATTTTATGAAATCGACTTCACCACAAATCTGTCGTTCGATGTTCTCGCATTCTGCGCTACACCTGAGTCGCCGACACCTGAGTCGCTGACACCCGAGCTGCCGAACCTCGTCGATGTTGCTTAAGCCGCTGACAAATCAGTCGGCGACGCAAAGTCGCAGACCATTCGGTTGCCGGCTCTTTGTTCTCTGACCCTCTCACAGATATCTCGAGGCTAAAGTCTCTTCACCACATCTCGCTTAACTCTGTCTTGACAATATTTAACAACATAAGCACACCTGGTTCGTGCAACTTGAAATTCAAGGCTCTATTTTCTGACATCCCCTACCAGGTATGACTGAACAAATGCATTTTGTATTCGCTCATCGTCGATACAACGGGTCTCGATGGCACCGTCTACCTCGACGAACTATCTCATCAGAATTACATTCTCGATTCCCTTGTACTTTGGGATCGCTAATTCAGTAGTCTCCCATCGACGCGTGAGCGCCGACTTTGCGGACTGAGACTGTTGCTCTCTTCGCATCTCAGTCCTCTGATGATCTTCTTGTCGCAACGCGGTCACCTCCGCTTGCGATGCATCAAGTTCTCGTCGCATGAGCTTTCTGATGCTGTCCCCAAGAGACAGCGTAGCCCAGACAGCTTCTTCGCTAACTTTATAACTCATTCTACAGATTGCACTTGATTCAACATCGCTCAAATAATAGTAGCTTTCACGAGTTCCGTGAAAGCTGTCGCCTTCTACATCGTCCAACATGTTCATGTTGGGCGGTGCGCCAGTGGTCCTATGACGGACTACAAAGTGCTTCCAGGTGTGACGGGGCACTACTAACCTCGCACTGGAACACTAGTAGGAGTTAACATTCACTGACAACAGTGAAGGTCAGTGCCCTGCTAGGTGCAAGCACTACACAGAGGAAGGACAAACAACTAAGGCGAGACTGTAGTTGTAGGAAAAGTAAAACTGTTATTGAATACAACTAAGTCCTTTAACGATTGTTCTCCGTTTTGACCTAAATTAATTATTTGATATAACTAAACGTATGATGACGTTCACTCACCACCCATTGCGCGCGACTAGCAGCGATAGGTATATATATATTCACAATAATGACCAATGGGTCATGTAAACTATATTATTACTATAATTATTGATAGTGTTAAAAGGAAAATTCAGCGTAATATTCTTTATTACCATTTCGCACAATGGTAATTTCACGCAACGGGATACTTCGTTACAAATAAATGACGCCGTGTTGATGTGTACTCATCGCCCGCCCTACATGGTATGCTAGCAAAAAACTAGCGAGGAAACACACGGAAAAGCGCGAACATATCGGCTAGCAGCGACACAACATCGCACAGAATACACGTTGGTCTCAAAACTCACAAGGGGTTCGAGCGCAAGAACACGACAAGCCCGACGGTTGCAAGATCGGCGGGTCAGACGTACTGAGACGACGAAAACTTAGCTGCCGTCCTACCTGTCTCTTTGTTTCTAGGATAGGAAGCATTTGTTCTACAGTTTGACAACACGAGAACGAACCGAAGGCATGGCTGGAACCCATCGCGAGCTGCCTTCATTTGCGAGCAGACCAGTAGGACGAGATCTGCCGAGAACGGAGGACGCGACACGGAAAGAGAGAGACGATAGGATCGACGAGGTCTGCAGACACCAGTTGGCGAGTCTTCCTATGGAAACGTATACAGTCCGTGCCGAGCTCAATTGTTTGCTGCAAGTGATACAGCACTCATGGGCAACATCAAGTCAGTACATCTTTCAAGCCCGCATGGTGCCGACATATTCCTCGATAGCAGTCGCTATCACGTTCGCATCTCGTCAAGGGGTGTCGACTCCTTTGTTGCTAGCCAGCGCAACACGGAACGAGCTCAATCAACGTGACCCTCAGCAAGCAGAAGCGATATGCAGATTTGCTCACTCTTGTTCATACCAGCAGTTATAAACTCAAAGCACGTCTTGGTGTACGCAAACGTGAGCTCTTTCCAGATCTCCCACAGCTGCACGCTGCTCCACTTGCGCGAGTTCGTCGCGCTGCCGCCTGTGCCAACAGAATTCCGTTCTGCTCGTGAACCAGCAGATCCGGGCGGATGCTGACGGCTCAGCAGCGCAATGTACATTTCACGAATGTCGACCCAAAACTGCCAACGCGACTGCTCTGCGGCCAACCGGTCAACGAAATCGGGCGACAGCACAACATCCACGAGGCGGATCACATCTTCTGACGTCACGGGCACTTCCTTCGGATGCGGGTCTCCTTTTAATTCCTTATCAAGGCACTGTCGACTCGTAGTAAGCGAGTCATCTCGCTGCGATCGCGGACCTCCACTTCTGCCACCACTCGAGGCGGAGACGGACTCTGACTGCCGTAGTTGACATAACTCCGAGAACGTGAAGAGCCATATTGGGACTGCAACGTCGGACCAACACTACGCTGCTCATACCGTGATCGATACGGTGTATTCGAACGTGATCCCGACATCGAACTTGCGCCATTGCTAGATGGTCGTCTCCCTTCCATCCGTTGCGGGTGCTGCTGTGGTGACATGGTCTGTTTGTGCTGCAGAGCTGCACTACTAGTGCTACCAACGGTCTTGTCGATACTAGCAGCGTTTGCCATGTCTTTTAGCCGCTGATTCCGATAGTATCGATACGGTGCCTCGACCATCACGTGCTTCTTCACGTTCTTCAGGCCACGCAGTTTCAAGTGCGAGCACTTCGTACGAAGTTGCTTCGATGTCCACGTCTCGTAGCGCGTACTATCACGCGGATGACGGGCTTCCCCGAGCGGCTAATACTGCCTTGGATCTTCACTTGGTGGATCGCCATACGCTTTCGGTACATGCAAAAAGCGAAGACGAGATGCGGTGGCACTAGAGCTACTACCACCAGCACCAGCACTAGCAATGCTGGTCTTCACAGGGATGCCCGATCCACTCAAGCTGCTCGATGCACGGCGAGACACGGTCGTCGATGTCGTACCAGCTGCACTCATAGCTTTCTGCTGCAGGGGCAGCATCTGGACACTTGGCCATCCTCCTCCTCCTCCAATCTTGTTGGTGGACTCGTACCCGTTGCGCAGTGGACCGCTGTACTGCTGCTGCTACTGCTGTGGCAAGTGACGCTTTAAGCCACGAGTGGCGACGCTGGTGCTTGCTGGTGCGTTCTGTACCCAGGGCTCGCCAGTCATGGCCGGCGACGACACGGGCGAGAGACGGTTATGGTTGTGGTGATTGTACGATGACGACGACGACGTGACTCTTGTCGTGCCACGAACAGCGTCTTCGAACGCGCCAAAGTATGGGAGCGGCAATGGCATGGAGGGCGACGCTACCGTAGCTCAGCAGATCAAAACGACTCACGTGGCCAACACGTATGAGAACTACGGGCGACATCATATCAAGCCGAAACACCTGCGGATGTTCTACGGGTTCATAAAGGGCAGCGATGTCATCGGTAGCGAAAAGTTCCACGAGCAGGTGGAGATAATCACGAGAGCAGATGATTTGCGCAAACGTCGAGAGCTCACTAGTCAGCATGACTCCATACGCGAGTACAGCAACTGGCTTAACAACCGCTTCACCCGCGTCCGAGTAGAGTAAAACTTGGCGGGTCCCGAGGACAATGCAGCCGCACACACTACAATGTGGTTAACAGACTCGATTGATTGGCGTCGTGTAACGGGGCAGCCCGTTACATGGAAATTGTCATTTGAAGAGATAATGACAATAAAGAATATTGTGTTGAATATTCTTTTAAAAATATCACCAATAGTGGTGATATTGATGGGTCGACCAAAGAGTCTGCTCATTGGTTGATATCTTGACGATATCAACCCACCAATCGCCGCAAGACGCGCGCAATGAGTGGTGAGTAGACGTCGTCATACATTCAGTTAGATTAGTATAATTGAGTTAAGTCAAACAGAGAGACAGTGGTTAAAGACTTAATTATATTAATATAACAGTTCTACTTTTCCCCAAGACAGTGTTGCCTCTGTCTTACCTACCGCTTCCTCGGTTGCCCCGTATACGCTTGGCGGTGCACGATACCCTTGCTTTGAGTTCACGCAAGGGTGTTCCCCGTTACACCTGATAGCACTTTGTAGTCCTTCCAGCGACCACCTCCACATCATCCACCATGAACATGATGGATGATGAGGAGACCTTTCACGCCACGCGTGAGGGGTTTAACCATTTGAGTGACATCGAATGGAGTGCGGTAGAACGCATGAGTTCTACCGTAGCCGAGGTCGCTATTAGCGCCATGTTGGAGTCTCTCAACAGAGACCAACAACATGCCGCTATAGCCAAGTTCATTCAGAATGAACTTGCCATCGAGAGGGAGAAAGTAGCCTTGCTTCACCAGCAAGGCTCTCAACAGGCCGAGCAGTTGAGAGAACTCGGTGCTCAACAGACGGAGCTGTTGAGACAGCAGCAATTCCATGCTGCTGTAGGCGGGACGACACATTCGCGTCGTCCCGAGGTCATGAAGGTTGACATCTCAAAGTACAGAGGAGTCCCGGAGGACTCCCTGTTATTGTGGTTCGTCGAACTCGACAGAGCCTTGAAGGCACGTCGTGTCGACGATGAGAAAATGAAACTTACATTTGCTCAAACCCACTTGGCAGGACGTGCCAAAACTTGGTCTCTGGGGCTCGAGAGTAGCGATCCAAATGTGTTTAGGTCGCTAGATGACTTCAAGTCCCGGCTCAGACAAACGTTTGAGACGCCACGCGCAGAGTTCAGAGCTCGTTCAGAGCTACTGAAACTCAAGCAGGGTAAGCGTGATGTTCACGCTTACGCCCAACATATACGACTCCTTGCGAGTAGTATAACTGCCAACCCGGTAAATGAACACACGTTGATTACGGTGTTCATGCAAGGACTCGCAGAAGGGCCCGTCAGGAGCCACCTGTTCCGCCTGGAGCTGAATACGCGTACAGAAGCGATATCAGTCGCGGAACAGGAAGACTTTAGCATGAGACTGGCTCATGATAGCTCAAACTCTTATCGTCCACCTAGACGACACGAGACCGGAGGTCCAGAACCAATGGACCTCTGTTATGTTGAGAGCGAGAGACCTCGCTCTTCAAACAACAAGCGAATGCAGAAATGCAATCGCTGTCAGAAGTAAGGGCACTACGCATATGAGTGTAGTGCTCCTCTCCCAGTACCAAACAGTACTGAGCGAAATGGACGACCTTTTGCCAGAAAGGGCAATGGGCGTGGGTCCAGCGCTGTTGCGAATCCGCAACAGCCAGACTGACCATCAAAAAATGGTCGGGGTCAGTAGGGGCGGAACACCCTACTGATCCAGCAACCTCAAGAGAACTTGCAAATCTCTTGACGGAAGTTGCTCCAGATACACAATCATTGTGTGTCTCTGCACCTGGTGATGACGTTTCGCTCATCACCTTGAAGTTGGAAGCGACAAATGATTTGTCGCTCCGTGCCCTAGAAGACTGTGGGGCGTCGAACAACTTTGTTCGTCGCCAGTCACTAGAGGGTCGTAGGCTCAAGTTCGTTGAGCGCGACATTCCCCTCACGAGGATGACGGTGCGCCTTGCAACAGGCGCATCGATTACCGTTGAGAAACGTGTAGTAGGAATCCACTACACGTTAGAGGGCGAACAGTACGATGATGACTTCATCGTACTGGATCTGGATGACAAATTTGATGTCATCCTGGTATTACCTTGGCTCAGAAGGTACGAGCCAAGAGTGAGCTGGCAGCATCGATCAGTAAAGATACCTGCCGCTTGTTCATCAGATGGCCATCTGATGAACATCTTGGAGAGTCCCCAAGCGTGTGGATGTACTGCGAGTGAGTGCGATGGCCTCAATTGCGGTACGGCCGTTAGCACGACTGCACAAGATCACAGTGTAGTTGATCACTACACTATGGAGCAAGCTCCCGGCGACTGTACAGAAGTACAGGCGGCGCCGAAGGTCCACCACTCGAAGAAGTCGAGTGGACCGAGACATAGATGAATGCCTAGCGGGCAGAATCTTAGACAAAAGAAACCTGTTGCCTTCAAAGGGCAACATGGAAATCCTAGGTCGACTGGAGAGTTGATCGTAGAGGATCGGTGCCTGACTGTGGTTGGACAGCCACAGTCAGAAGCCGTCGAGGGAATAAGTCCCCACGTACTTGAGGAAGGAATTCCTCAAGAGTCGCTTGCTGAGGGATTAGGCCCTCATTAACGTGTGGAAGCAAGTTCCCAGGAAGAAACCGACACGTTGAACGTCTTAGTTAATGACGGTTCGAGCGTAGGCGCTTATACACTTGATCTGATTGTGCCTCCGAAGTTAACTTCGGAGATAAGTCAGTTGCCAACGCTAGAACCGAAACGGTTCTTGCGTGATCTGCGTAGTGGCAAAGTCAAGCAGATCTGCCAACTCGTCACAGAGGATGAGTATGTGGCCGATATTCGGTCGGCAACAGTATTTGCTGAGAACGAACGGGTTCTCAGCAGCTCATCGAGGGACGAAAGTGTCCTCGATGAGAAGACTCGGGTTGAGGGATACACGTCTCAATCCTGGGAGTCACTTCAGGCAAATCCTTTGTTTAAGGATTTGATCGAATTGAAGGATGTGTTCCCTGAATCCGTACCTTGCGAGATGCCTAAGGGCAAAGGCACTCGACACGAGATCGAGCTCAGACCGGGCTCGAAGTACTGTGTCATGAAGCAGTGGCCACTGCCTCGTGAACAGGTGATAGCGATCGACAAGTTCTTTGCCGGTCGATTAGCTGCGGACCATGTGAGGGAATCAACTTTCCCTCACAGCTCTACGACCTTCTGTGTGCGAAAGGCCACAGGAGGATGGCGGATAGTGCACGCATTTAACAAATTGAATGCTGCAACGGTACCGGCTCAGACGCCGATACCGAGGAAGGACGTCATTATAGATGGTTCGTCCATGGATCTGATGGACGAATTCTAACAGATCCTTATGCGTGAACGAGACATCCCGTACACAGCAGTGAGCACCCCCAGCTGTATGCTGTGGGAGTGGCTGGTTATGCCACAGGGGCTGAGCAATGCCCCTGCAACGTTCAACAGATGTGTCACAAATCTGTTGAGACCGGTGCGTGATTTCGCACCGAGTTACTTCGACGATGTGTTCGTCCATAGTCGGGCTATGGACGGAAAGACGGACGTTGAACTTCATAGAACTCACGTTCGTCAAGTCCCTCAACTTGTGCGCAAGAATAAGCTGTACGTCAACCTCAAGAAGTGTATATTCGCGGCTAGCGAAATACCACTTCTTGGGTGCATCGTGGGTAAACACGGCGTACGACCTGATCCCGAAAAGATCAACGTGGTCACCGACTGGCCAGTGCCAGTCGATGTCAAGGAAATTAGTAATTTGCTTGGACTAGCGGCGTACTTGCACAAGTACTCGCGCAACTACGCCGAAATGATGGTACATCTTTCTTGCTTTCTCAAGAAAAATGTCAAGTGGTCATGGAACGCTGAGTGCCAGCGTTCCTTTGAAGGTATCAAGCAAAGCTTGATGCAATCGCCGATCTTGGCGATTGCAGATCAGGACAGACCATTTCATGTGGTCTGTGACGCCAGCGATTTTGCGATTGGCTGTGAGTTAATGCAATTTGATGCAGATGGCGCAGAACGCGTCATCTGTTATCAGTCGCGTCAGCTGCAGGCAGCTGAGCGCAATTACCCAGTGCGTGACAAGGAACTCCTTGCCATGAAGTATGCACTGGCTAAGTTTCGCGTCGATCTCCTCGGAGATAGACCGTTTGTTCTCCATACGGACCATGCGTCACTACATACGGCCGTAAACAGCCCGCCCCTCTCGCAAAGGATGGCGAGGTGGATGTTTTTTTTGCGTAGTACAACTTCTCTGTGGATTATAAACCAGGACGACTCAATGTCGTCGCTGATGCGCTTTCGCGCCGGCCCGATTTCGAGCCGGACGCACAATCCAACAGTGAGGATAAGCCCACTGTTGCGACACTGTCAGTCAGTGTTCCGTCTTCAAGCTTGCTTGACGACAAACGAAAGGCATCCGCAGAAGATTAGGATCTTCTCCGATTAATGAATCATCTGTGGAATCCATCCAGTAAATCAATGAGGGATTTACCGGCTTTGTACCGATTTTCCTCGGATCGGCATAGTACACGCAACGGATTGCTGTACTATACAGCTGTTGCCGACGACACGCCTCGTGTCGTCGTACCCGCCCATCATGATTTGCGTTTACGCATCATGTATGAGTGTTACGATGCCCCAAAAAGCGGCCATCGTGGTAGAGAAAAGACTTACCTCACGATAAGTCGTGACTTTTACTG